CGGTTTTCCATGGGGGTTCCATGGGAAAGTGGACCTCAGTGCGAAAATTATTTTCTTTATAAAACTAACAAACGTGTGGATAAGACATATGTAAAAATCTTGAATCAACCAAAAAAATAACAAATGATCATGAAGAATTTAACGATGCTCTTCCATTTTTATGTGAGAATTGAAGTCGGTTTTGCTTTTTGCTAAAAATTACTTGTTTGAGTTTCTATTTGATTTGATTTCCAACTCTAATGCTGACTACACACGAGGCAACCGTTGAGACAACCAGGGCATGTTGCGTCGACTGTTGCCTTGTCTGTAGCATTGTTGCTTATGAAAATTCTTGTTGCCGCTGCGTATCGCGCAAAGTGAGAAACATTTCCCATTAAGAGCGTAGCATATTTATAGCGTGAGTGAACTTTTATGTCTGATTAACTGTTATTTGCGTTCTTTGGAAATAGACAAATTACTGGAGACGCACAGTGGGTTCAAATCTGGCATTTAGTGTTCATAATTCACTGGAGCTTATAAAATTTGCAAGAGACCAGTTACCTTATTTTTTTAATTTTTAATTGATTACATTCTATTTCTTAATGCCGAAGTGCAGAAAAAGTAGCAATTTTCAGAAAATTGATTCTCCTGTTTCAGTTAATATATGTTATGTAATAAAAACTAGTTGATTCCTCCAAAACGAAAACAAATTTGAAATGTTATAAAACAATGGGTTGTATAATTTACTCGATTTGTTCAAATAAATTTAAGTGAAAGGTTTGAAATTTTAAGTAAAAGCAATTGCTTAGTTTTTATGCATACGGCCCAATGTTAACCAAAATTAACATTCATTTTTTTTTGGTTTTTGGAAATATTTGGGTATGCAAATTTATAGATCATTAAATGTTAATATAATAAACAGCAAGTTGCAATCGGCTAAGAGTTCGCTCTGATTTTTAATAATATAACAAAAAAAAATTATAAAAAAAAAATCAACGCAACCTCATAGCCACTTGCCACTTGCAAGTTATTATACTAAAATTTAATGATCTACATATAAAACTGCATACCAAACATTTTTCTAAAAGCTCAAAATTTTCTCTGTTTTCATTATGGTAACATTTTTTATAACATTTCAAATTTTTCTTGTGAGTTTTTGTATAGTTTTGGGGGAACCCTACAATTAGTTTTTAATTTGTATCATTTATTAACTAGAACAGGAGAACCGATTGCTGCTTCTTCTTTAAAAAACAAAAATTAATCTAATTGGTTCAAAAATGAAGACTCCAATGAATTATGAACAGTCCTTTCCAGTTTTGAATCACTGTGCGACGGGAGTTAACTTGTCGCTATGGAAACGGTAAGAAATTCTATTCTAATCATGGTTTAGAGACATGCAGAGATATGCATAAGGAACCTGCTTCTGGGCATTGCAATAGGTCTATGTATTCATCGTGCATACTTACAAGTGAAAAATATTCTTCTTCTGTCTGGTTAATATCCTGTAAAAATGTACGACTCACGTGTTGTTTTTTTTTTTTTTTAATATCAACAACGTTTTTTAGGTTAAAATGGTTTTATTATTTTTTTATAATTTTTTTTTTTATGCTGTAGCCAACACAAAACCAAACAAATCAAAGTTTCGAACTTGAACTTAAAATTATAAAACTTTAACAAATTTTCATCAAAATATGGAAATTTTATGTCTGAATGTTTAAAAATTTTCCAAATATAAATTAGGACGGGACATTAAAGCAATTATTAACATTTTTTTTTAGTTTATTATTGGTTTATTATGAAACGGCAAGTCCTGGGTAATTCAAATTTGCACTTTATTATACTACAAAGTTAGGAACTTTCAGTTTTATGGATAAAAAAAACTAGGAAGGTAGAACCGCTGAGAGGAATTTTTCAAATTCTTGACGTTTGCAAGCAATTTAATTTTAAAATTTTACACACAAACTCACACACACATTCTCATTTTCAATCCCAAACAACAACAACTTTGAACAATTCCTTTTTTTACTCTCAATTTTATATGATTTTAAAATGCTGGCAAACTTCAAAAAAAAAATCATGGCCGATGAATTGAGAGAACGGCTTTACCTTACTATAATTAAAACAACAAATATTAAAAAAAAAAAATGGAAAAAAATTACTGTACGATTTTCACTAACACACTTGAAACTTGCATTTTTCATGGGCTATAAAACGGCATACCCAAAAATTTTCTATAGATTCAAAATAAAAGTTCCGAAATTTTGATGAAAATTTGAAGATTTTCTAAATTCTGTATAAAGTTTGAAATTTAGATTTACATACATACATATATGGTTTCGGTTAAAGCCTTTTTTAGCCCAGCAAAATTTAGATCAAATTGGTACGAAGAAAAAAAATTATAGTAGCAATTTTTTGATGTAGTTTACTTCTATTTGGCATGGATGGCATAGTCTTGCCCCTAAATTTCATGGCAAAATTCCGCCATGATGGACTTTAGGCAGAGACTATAACGATTATAAGAAATAAAATTAAACATTGGAAAAGTTGTTTTCGTCTCCGGAGACGAAAATCCTTAGACTAAAAACTTTTTCACCTTCTCCTAATAATTATATGGGACTATTATTTTTTTCGTCGCGCGACACGATTATTTTACGTTGGAAATTATTTTCTTCTTCTCATAAGGATTAAGGTCTTAAAATGATCACATACGACGACGCACCCATTTAGATTTTGCTTTACAAATTTTGAATTTTTCCAACCTGACTTCAGATTAGTAATAAGCGGCCTCAAGAACCCGCCGAATCGATTTTGATTTTTTGGCCGCCATATTGGATTCGCCATTATGAATTTTTAAAATCATGCTCTAAGTTCCTGCTGTTAGTATTTATTTTTTAAGTGTTGGGTTCACCGGTTTCACGGTTAGTTTAGACACCAAATTTTTAGACGCAACGTTGAATTTTGCAAAGGCCACACTGTTTTCAATGTGATCATTTTAAGACCTTAATCTTTGTAATTCGTTCTATAGAATTTTGGCCATCGAACTGTACCGGTTCACGTGATGTGGAAATGAATTTTAAGCCACTTCCCTTACATCGCTATGTTTGCTACGTTGCCGATCGTGATTTGAACACATTACGTATTTTCAACAGAAATTGTTGAAAAATGGCGAAAACCGTGACAATGTAAAATTCACAAATTTCACAGTTTTTACTAATTATTTACAATAAAAAGTGTTTTATTTAAACCTTCTATAGAAAAAATGCGGGAATTAAATTCTCTAAAAATTTGTATTCAGCAATTTTTTTACGAAAAATTAAAAATAAAGCTGCAAATCGCAAAAAACCCAAAAAGAAACCTAAAATACAATATGACAGAATGTTGCCATATGAAATTAAAGGGGAAGGCGTGTGATACGTATCAAATAGAAATAAACTGCATCCAAAAATCGCTACTACACTTTTTTTTATAATAAAAAATACCAAAAAAACGTTTACGTTAAAAACATTGTTAATACATATTTAAAATAAATCCACAACTAAACTCTAGTGTGAACCGCGATTTAAAGGAAGCACTTATGTTAAACGCGACTAAAATTATTAAAATAAAATTAAAACCTGCAAAATATGAATCCAATTTAATCAATTCTGGTGTTTATATAACGTTTGAATATTCTAAAGCGCTTTTGTAGTAATTGAAATAAGGTGATCTCAGCTGAGGGGCTTTTGTCGAAAGCTTCCGATTCTTTTTTCACTTGTAAATATGCACAATGGCCTATGAGGCCTCCGAGTCAACTCTCTTTTAGAGCTGCCCGCATAACCTAGCACCAGTCGTACACTTAAGTATAGATTGAAACATAGATTTATTCCTTCAAATCACTGGAAAATCTAAATGAAAATCAATGAAATTAGCCCGATGTTGCAATAAAAAAGAAATGGGCGTTGCAATCGATAATCCAGAAAGTCAATATCTTACTGTGGTAAGAAGACACCTTTTTTTAAATATATTCTGTTGTAAACGGCACAAATTGAAGTTCAATATAGTCTATAATTAAATGGGTTTCTGCTCTTTTAATTCGTCAACCGATAAAGCCAATGGAATTATGTGTTAAAGGTTTTTTTGGTTTAATAAAAACCAATAAATAAAACTTAGCTATCATCCAGAACGGAAAATTTTTGTTGAATTGTACTAGTCTCTCACTAATCTTAATAGTAGTAGGTGCTACTATTTCCCGATGTAAAATTAGGTATCTCACAACGAGAAGCGTAAATTTGAAGATATTTTTTTTTGCTGAGGTAGATTTGCATTATCTTTTGCAGACTTTGTTTTTTTTTTTTGCCAAAGGATCCCTAAATATGAATTGATTTTATTTTTTTATTTTTTGAAGTGTTTACTATGCTACGCTAAAAGATAAATCAATATTCGGCGGTTACATTTTTGCTAAGCGTATGTGAGAGCTTCTCGCGTCCTATTTGTGATGTGCGTCTTAATGTTGTTAGACAGATGCAGAAACCTACAGTTTTTTGCCATTCAGATATTAAGCCAAATCACTTTAAGCCAATTAGTGAATTTTCAATTAGAAGAAAATAAAGTTTAAGTTTAGATAATGTTTTGATTTTTCTATATTAAATTGGGATCCCTCTAACTGGATGCAATGAAAGGATGAACTAGATATCTTAGAAGGCAACTAAACTGATTGGCTTCAAACGGTTTCCTTAGCAAAAACTAATTTTCAATTTTTCGCAAATTTTAAATGACTGTTTCATTTTCGTATAAATAAATAATGTACTTAAGAAGAAAGAATTTTTTAATGTTGTATATACATAATGGCAAAGCTAACATAATACGCCACAAATGCATACAAGGCATACATCAAAAGTATTATCATCTATCAAACCAGCGTTTTTCATGTGAAGCTAATATTATCTGCCTTTGATAAATTTAACTCATTCGGATCTCACATTTCTTTTATATAATTGTAAATAAAATGAAATAAATAAAACTTGTTAAAGTTCTATACATACCCATCAACCCATGAAGAATTCGAATTGTCCGTTCCTGTAGCATCGTTTCCACCATCTGGGCCTCCTTGTCTTTCATTATCCTCGGGACCACTTCGGAATGAATTCTGCCCTCCGCGATCGCCCATGTTATTATTACCGCCAAAATTACGTCGATCGTCGTTGGGACCCATTCTGCTAAAATTTGCCCCATTACCACCACCACCACCGAAATTCGGACCATTGCCACCTCTAAAGTTCGGACCATCTCCGCGGAAATTCGGGCCGTTCCCTCCTCCGAAATTAGGACCATTTGGCCCAAACCTATTGAAATTGGGTCCATTCGGGCCAAAATTAGGTCCGTTGCCACCAAAATTCGGACCATTGCCACGGAAGTTTGGTGCGTTTCCTCCGAAATTCGGCCGGTTTGGTCCATTATTGGGACCATTGCCTCCGAAATTTTGACGATTTCCTCCAAAATTGGGGCCATTTCCTCCGAAAGGGGGACCGTTTCCCCTGAAGCTGGGACCGTTTCCTCCAAAGTTAGGACCATTTCCTCCAAAGTTAGGACCATTTCCTCCAAAGTTGGGACCATTTCCTCCCATGTTACGGTTATTCCCTCCAAAGTTGGGCCCATTACCTCCAAAGTTTGGCCCATTACCTCTGAAGTTAGGTCCATTGCCTCCGAAGTTTGGATCATTACCTCCAAAAGTAGGATCATTACCACCACTGTTAGGTCCATTTCCACCATCTGACTTATCCATGTCAGATTTTTGTTTTTGTAATTGCTGAAGTAACATAGGTAATTGTTGAAGAAACTGCGGTGGTGGCGCACAACTTGGATCCGCACTCTCTCTGCCCTGAGCTTTAGCCAGGGCCATCGAAATTTTCTGCATGAATACGGGATCTCTAAGTGCATCATTTAAATTAGGAATGGCATTGGAAATATTCGGATGTATTAGTTGCTCTTCTTGCGGTTTGTCCGCCTCTAGCCTGTTATCAGAGCGTTCATCTTCATTATCATTTTCACCTTCACACTCGCCTTCGATTTCGTCTTCGGCATTGCCACCACTGATGGGTGTTTGTATGGCGAAATCTGCTGGTTTTTGTACTACAACATCAAACAGGGATGGTATTTTGCCAACAGGCTTTTGTGGCTCTTGCTGTTTTGGTTCAAAAGTTTCAACCAATTCCTTTTCAGCACTTTCATTACCCTTAATCATGTATGATTTATCTTCATACATTGTGTCGGTTGCGCCACTACCTCCCACCAAATCTAGACCTGGAATACCCTCACTTTTGCCAAAAATATTACACATGGGACCAGAAACGTCACCGGCCTTGACGTCATCTTCATCCACAAGGGATATCACTTCAGTGACAGTCGGGTCGTCTAATTTTGATATTTTTACACTTTCCGTAGGAGCGCTAAAACGACTCTTTCGCTTGCCTGAGGTACCAACAATATTCGCTTTTTTCTCAAATTTTGAGATGCCTTCTTTGCTTGTTTTTGGACAATCAACTTTTGTTTGTTCTTTTACCAATTCATCCTTATCCTCTTTTTCTTTTTGAACTACTTCGTCTTTGTTAACGGTGCTTTCTTCAGTTATGTTATTGTTTTCGCCCGCGAAAGGCTGATTTGTACCGTCATCTTCTTCAACGGGTGCACCATGCAAATCTTCAGAGTCTTCATGTTCAGGAGTTTTGCTTATATCCATTTCAGTAGAATTTTCAGGGTCTAAGTTATCGTTCTTAACGCAAGGCTCCTTTCCAATTGGCTCAGCTTCTAAGCCTTGCTGCTGTAATCTTCTTTGTCGCATTTGTTCCCGACGATCCATTATTCGCTGGCGTTGCTTCTCAAATTCTTGTTCATATCGTCTGTACATTTCCCTATCGGGATGATTAGCGTTAGCACGCTTCCATTGTTCGAATTGTTCTTCCCAACGTTGGAACTGCATATCAAAACTCTTTTCATCCAAATCGGGCCGTTGTTGTTTGTTCCCGCTGTCGGTTTCAACGCGACCTTGACGCTGATTTTGTATTTCCGGTTCGCGGTTACTTTTATTTGGCGCATTTCGCAATTTATCTGCGCTTTGAGGTGCAACACCTTCTCCTTGGCCTCCTACGCTGATATTTGGAGCTGATTCTCTTGCGCGCTCATTTGAGTTAGACCTTTGATTTAAATTATTTGGGCCGAAATCTGGTTCATTAGAATGTGATCTTTGACTTAAATTACTTGCACCAAGGTTTCGTTCATTCGAAACTGACCTTCGATTAAAATTGTTTGGACCGAAATCATTAGGACCCGGCTTTCGATTTAAAGGGTCAATGGGAAAGTTGCGACCGTTTCCGCGATTTGCTTGATTGAAATTATTGTTTGGTGCGAAGTTGTCTCGATTTGCTTGGTTGAAATTATTTGGTCCGAAATTGTCTCGATTTCCTTGATTGAAGTTAGTATTTGGTCCAAAGTTATCTCCACTGCCTCCAGGACCAAAGTTACGGTCATTTGAGCGCGATCTCGAATTAAAGGGATTACGCTGACTTATATTTTTACCAGGACCTTCCGCTTCTGGGTTTAAATCATTGTGTGCGCCGAAATTGGAATCATTGCCGTCCGTCCATCTGTTATTTCTATTACCGAAATTGCGGTCTCTTATTCCAGGTCTCATATTGGAATCTTTAATATCAGCGAAATCGTCTTTAGGACCATCATCGTTAAAAGTATTATTTGGGCCCATGTTCCTTTCATTACCACCAAATCTTTGGTTAGGATTTTCATTGGGCCCAAAGTCTCGAGTATTACCCCCTGGCCTTTGATTGAAGTTTCCCCCAAAGTTTCGCTCATTTTGGCCATATCTTTGATTGAAGTTGTTTGGACCAGACATGAATGTATTCCCATCGAAATTCCGACCACTTCCTCCAGGCCCTTGATTAAAATTATCTCGGTTATTTCTATTATTATTCGACCACTGGTTATCATTATTACCCCAACGATTTCTTCCGATCTGATCATTAGGGCCAGACTGATTTCTCTGGTTGTTAAAGTTTCCCGCGTTTCTGCGACCATTATCGAAACTGTCTTGAACATCTTGTTGCCTATTATTCCAGGCGTTATTCATACCACCTTGATTCCGATTATTACCCCACTGATTTGATAAACCCTGCTGTCCTGGTCTACCTTGAGAGATGTTTTCGGTACGATTTTCGTTGAAACCAGCTCCTGCATTAGAATTTTCACCACCCCATCGATTGTTTGAATTTCTTGGATTTGTTTCAAAGCCGTCCATGCTATTTCGGTTGCTTTCGAAAGGATCGTCCATATTACCATCATTCGACATGTCATTATAATCATTAAGTTTACCCCGATCATCTCTTCGGGAGTCCCAACTGTTAGGTCCGCTTTGATTTCCTGGCCTGGGGTTATCAAAATTGTTTTCAAAGTTATTTTGTCTAGAATTCCATTGATTATTTCCGCCTTGGTTTTTATTAAATTCATTGTTTTGCAGATTTGGATTAGGGCCCCATTGATTCGGATTCGGTTCGATAGGTTCAGAAGAGTTACGTTCAAAATTACGATCGGGAAAAGATTGATTCTTATTGCTGTTGTCGCTATTGTTTTGTTGATTTGAATTACCATAAGGAGGCATAGGTTTTTGTTGCATAGCTTGTGTTGCATTTGAATTTGGTGGTGGTTGAGAATGCGGTTGTTGTTGGTTCATTATTGGAGGTGGTTGCTGGAAATTTGGGTTTTGACCGTAATTCGACGGCTGTTGTGCAAAACTTGGAGGAGGTTGATTATAATTGTATTGTTGCTGTGGTTGTGATTGAGGATAAGGATTTTGCCATTGGGAATAATTCATATTATTGACGAACGGACCACCTGGGGGTGGTTGATGCATTGTAGGTGGAGCTTGATTACCAGCAATAGTTTGAGTTTGCGGTAGTGTCTGGGCTTGTTGTGGATGTGACTGGCCTTGTTGAGAATGGGACTGCACTTGTTGGGGATGTTGCTGTACCTGCTGTGGCGGTGGCGGTTGGTTGTATTGTTGAGTTGTTAACGGAAATTTTGCACTTGCTTGTTGCCCATCAGGGGGAGGCGGTGGTGGTGGTTGATGCTGATTTTGTTGTGAATGTTGCTGAGGTGCTTGTGCCAACATTTGTGGCTGCTGTTGAGCTTGCATTTGTGGCTGCGGCTGTGCCTGCTGATAGTAGTTATTTAAACCCATAGTTTGTCCTGTTTGCGCTGCTGCAGCCATTTCTCTCTTGTACTAATAAAAAAAAGTTGAAAATGTTTTTTAATACACGTATGCATAAATAAGTCCTTGTTTCATGTTGCCTGCAACTTACCTGTTCACCATACTGTGCATGCCACTTAGCATATTCTTGTTGATAAGCTTGCCACTGTTGCCAGTGTTGTTGCAAAGCATATTGCTGCTCTGGAGTCAATGCGGCGTATTGCGCCTCGGTATACTGGCCATATGGCCCAGTTGAAGCTGGTGGAGCGACGGGAGCAGTTACTGGGGCCGTAGCAGGAAGCATTGGCCCTATAATCGGGGTTGCTGTGTTGCTAGTTGCTGGTTCTGAAGGTGCTGGAGGAGCAGTTGAGGGTGGGGGTGGGGCGGCCGACGGTGGTGGTGGCTGAGGTGGCGGACATTGAGGTGCCGGTATGGGAGGCATGGGAGCCGCTGCAGCGACACCAGTCCATCCACTCCACATTGTTAATTAAATGCTTAGTCGCCTTTACTTAATTTTACTCGAGTCTTTAATCACAAAAACGTGTTATAAAAGTCACTCTTTATATGTAACTTTCAGCACTTATTTATTCACTTCTTTTGTTTTCTTATCTATACAAAACAAGCACTAGTTATATTTTATGCAGTTTTGGCTACAATACAATACCAATTTTCAATGAATCAAATAGATTTACAAATCAATTTGTAAAATAGTCGCCATTTTCTTCAAGAAAAAAGTAAAGATGACAGAATAGCCAGAAATTTTTTGTTATAGATATAAAAATCGATTTTTTCTCGACTTTAACGCACATGTACACTTTCTATAGATTATGGTAACTTGGGTCTTACACGATCAAGACCTAGCTTTCGAGTTGCATTTCACGCACATTACAACTTGATATCGCTTTTTCCTTGCAAGTCGTGTTGTCAAACAGCTGACCAGAGTTAGTATGTTCTAATCCTCCAGGAAGTTATAAGGAAAGTATTACTGTAGATATTATGACAGGCTTATTGCCTTACCAATGACAAAACTCAACGGCTGGTATCTACTACTGCGTTTTAAACTATGCGCCTAGCTGTAAAACTGTGAAATCATTTAAAATTTTAATCATGAAATATTTACAAGTAGGATTTCACTCATTTTTCTTTGGTCTGGTAGTGTGGCTTATGTTTTTTCAATCTACAATCATTGAAAAAAAAATTTATTTCACACAGTAAGGTGGTAAATACCGGAATGAAACACTGAGAATGCTGAAGTAAACAGAATTCAATATTGAATTAGCTTCCAGATGAATGAACACTTTGCTATGTGTGCATTCTCTAATTCAGTTCCAATCAAATTTTATACACTAAGAAAAATGTGTAAGTTTAGATGATGGAATAATGAGGTGTATGTACTTTAAAACGATATTGACATAGTGTCGCGTATCAATGCACAGCGGCTACACGGGATAAGCCATGTCCTACGAATGGATGCTTATGCTTGGACTCCTCCACGCATGAAACGCAGCTTGATTCACATGAACATATTGTACAAACTTATAGTTTTGGATTTTTAAAAACTGAGTGCAAAATGTTCCAAGACAATTAGTATCAATAATTTTTTTCTTTAAAAGATTGGAAAATATGCAGAACAGGAAATAATCATGCACAACAACCATCGAATGATAGCAGCTTTTATCATTCAGTCCATGGTTTATCCACATGCATATAATGTCCTTTTCTAAAATACATATGTGCCCATTTTCGCGCGGCCACCCTTTATGATCAGTTTTTATTTATAAAAAACGATACTCCCATTTCCCAATACCAGGCGCTCATACATGTGAAGTAACAAGTTCTCTATTTCTAGGTCCAAATTGTTTGTAGAAAATTTAAATTTCCAAAATTCTACTTTCTAAAGTGCAATGGCTTCTACAAAAAAAATTAATTTAAAAGTTCTACGAACAAATTTATACATATAGAAGGCTTGCTACTTCATATGTATGAGCGCCTGGTATTGGGAAATAAAAATATCTCTTTGTACAAATAAAAATTTAGTGAAGAGCTGCAAATTCTTGATAGTGAAATTTTGAAGAAGAAAAATAAATGTCAAAAGCCGCCATTTGTTGAATTTGATTAGCACAAGCAAAAGTAAAATGAGTGGAAATCAAAATATTAATGATGTATTCGACTGTGTAAGGCAAAGAGTTTAAAACTGATTTATAAATAGTAAAATGTTTACAGCAGAATATCAAAACGGTGCAACAACTATTAACTTGCAAGTTTTTATTAGTTTTGTGTTCAATAACTTTTTCTGCTAGTTTTCTCTTCTTCTCAATTTTACGCTCTATTTCGCTTTTACGCTCTCGCTGCAATATTTTACTGGAGAAGTTAGTATATAAACCTAATGTTATTAGGCACAATTTTGCCCATGGAGACCATGATGCAATAATAGGTTCATTCCTTATCTTTTTGGACTAAAATCTGAAAAGTGT